TTATGTGAGTGTTATTAGTGATATTATATTTCAATAATTAGTTTGTTCAAGTATAATGTTGAATAACATGTTAAAATATATTATAAAGCCTATATAAAGCCTATAATCTTGCAGATAACGGATATAGTGGCCGTATTCGTTACCTTTTATGTGTATAGCTACACAGATAATAATAAGTAATCACAGTCAGTGGCGTACATACGGGGGGAGGAGGCGTTCAAACCCACCCATAGAGCCAAAAAGAAAAAAAGAAAATTGTGATATTATTGATGATGTGTAATATATTCGTAGTTTCATTGTTACACTTTGAACTTAAAATATACAACTATACAAAAATTGTAATAATTGATTAATTATATTGATAGGTGTTTGAAAAGTTTTTTTAACTATGCTGTTTTTATATTCATATAGCTACTAATTTACTGTAATATAAAAATAAACAGTAAATTGTTGTAAAGTTATATAAAATAACATATATTTATAGCAGTTATTTAACTGTGCAACGAAAAAAAAGATAAAGAAATTTATCATGTTTCAGAAAAAAAATGTATTAACATACAAATCTCAACTCTAGTAATAAGTATACAAACCATAACGGGTACCTAATCCATAACGGGTACCCGAAATATTGAGAATCGAATAATACACGTAAAACCCGGATATCCGGGTACCCGGGTATCAAGGGCACTAATAAACATATGGTTCATGGTATCGAGTTGGAAATTTACGTGTAAACAATGTGGTAGACCAGCGTAGTACCCAAAGCAATTAAGTAGAATTTCTCAAAATTTATTGACCCTTATACACCCCGAGGGTGACTCAAGGTATCATAATTAATTAAAACGCATTTATATGACTTTAAATGTATGTATTAATCGCGTATAGTTTCATATCGGTAATATTATGTATATTGTATAACAGTATAACGAGGTCGGATCGCGAGCGCGAGTGCTTCGAGGATTTAAACGGATTTCAAGGTTTTCGGTCGCGGTCAATTTATTTTTACTGCGATTATTTTATATTTTTCTTTTTATCATCACTTATAGGTAGGGCTCGAAAGTTATTGCATTTCCATGTTTTTTTGCACCATTGGATTTATTGCTAAGTGATCTAGAAATTCATTCCAAGACACTACGTAAAACATATCAAAAGTTTATAGTGCATATTCTTGCATATTAAGTGATTTTTAGATTTTAGAGCATATTTATTGATTTTACAATTTTTTAGAGCATATTTTATAATTTTTGAAGATTCAGTTTGAAAATTTGAAAAATAAAAAAAATAAAATACATTTATATTGAGAATATATAGAGAGATCTTTCTTGATATTCTTGTATCGTATTTTTCAAATTTCCATTTAACATTAAAACTATGTTTTCCCCTTTCGATTAAATAATATATATTTATAAATTATAACTACAGCTAGCTTTATCTAAAATAAAATATTATACAACTATCAAATAGAAACAGCTGCTATCGAAATACGATGATTTTCTATAAATACTTTTCTAGGAAAATAACTCAATGATTATTGAACATTCTTCAAGAGGATTTTTTTTTTATTCAAGAAACATTTTTAATGCTAATTTATTATTATTATTATTATTTTTAAATTATGATTAAAAATTAAAAATCAGAACTATTTTTATTACTTTGCTTTTTCTATATTTATAATTTTATAAAATATTTGTGCAAATGAAAATTTTGTGTACAAAAATAAAATATAAGTGTACATTTTTAGAGCATACGTATTTATACTTTTTTAGGCGCGTAAGTACATACATATTTAGTACTTTTTAAGTGCATTAAGTTATAGCCCTACTTATAGGTATATTACAGTATTACGTCTTTCTATGATGCGATTTCGGTAGTCGTATCCGTACGTTTACGCGTAACATTATACACATGCGAATTGCATCACAGATCTAGAGGTAGGTGATTTATTTTCACTCGAGTTGCCTCCGAGTGTTTCATAGACTAATTAAGTAGCTTTGTGTGCATGCACTATCCAATATCCTATTGCCTGTATTAAAGGTTCCCACAAATATTTTTCATATAGGAATCTCTAAAAATACAACTTTAGTATTCGAGTGAATTCAAATCTTTATTCATACGACCAAGTGGTTTAAATATGGGATATTTTGGAATATTTTGGCGAATGAAAAATGTATTTTCATTATTTAACAAAAAAAAAAAAACTTGATAGCAAGTTAAATATTAAAATCAATGTGTTATTTCAAACTACATTTAGTTCATTTAGTAAGCCATAATGATTTTATTTTAATAGTTTTCCACCTTTTTCTTTTACTTCTAAGTATTTTCTTATGTTGACAGTCACTAAGGATTTTCTTTTTTCTTCTTGCCAGACTCAATATAAGCCATTTAGAGTCTGGATTGTCTGGTTTGCATTTCATTGTTGTATTGAAAATAAATTATATAATATCGAATTTTTTGTCGTTGAAATTAATTTTTATTGTTCCACTTTAAAAATGTGATATTTTTAATTTTTGAAATTTTCGAAATTTTTTTTTTTGGTTATTACAATATTTGTATTATAGTGATATTATCAATCAATCTGATCCATGGTAACAGAGTTAATTCGAGTTCACAAAAATGCACAAAAAACGATTCGAGAACCCTCATATAAATAACTTTTGACACTGGTTTTTTCCGAGGATATATTTAAAGGGTTACCGCACTTTATTACCGGATCGTTCCGGTAGGCAGTTGTTGAGACGCTAAACGGACGTTTAGAAACGATTGGGAATATCGTGCTGTAATAATGTTTTTTGATGATCTTTGTTTGGGTTTTCCAAAGGATTGAAATATCGCGTGGGAGGAGATTGAAGGGAAAAAACTCATTACTATGGTGCTTTGTACGCAGCAGAGTCATGGAACTTGTGTTTTCGTGCCGTATACAATTCAAAGAGGGAAGGGGAAGGAAATTAGACTGGAACTGATGCTCGGGTCGGTATGCAGCCGCTGCCTAGTCGCAATCAAAACGTGAAATAAAACTTCTACTTGTACATCATATATATTTATATTTCATAAATAGGCAGACGGACGGCGGCGGCTTATTTTTAGTGCGTAACAGCTGTGTCCATCGTTTGGCCGAGAAAAAAAATCACAAACAAATTACAATGAACGTACAAAGTCCAGTTCTACTTAACATACGCATTTCTAGCTCGAATCCGGGGAACCGTACTTGTAAACCGTACACTGAAGTCTTGCGGCCGGCGCAGTCTCATTTTTTCGAGAACTGTGGGAAACGGGCCGTCCACGTGTGTCTGTTTCATTGGTTTTAGAATTCTCGTGTCTTGTACTCTCTCTGGTGCGCGATAACGGACCAATGTACCGCAATCGCAATCAGGTGGCGATATTTAGGTGTTTCTCGCTCGTAGACCCGTGGAAAATTGTCACCCTAAATAACTAAACAACGTACCACACGAATGGAATTATCATTTAAATTACCTACTATGAAATATATGTTGATTAGGAGATAAGTGCGCAAAACAAATTTTATTTAAATGATAAAACTTAGTTGTTTAAGATTTAAATTATTTTTATTGGTGTTACTTTTATAAAGTATACGCTAAATCACCATGATGGTTCACGGGTATAGCCTCCAAAACACCACTTTTCTTGGTTTTTATTTAGTACTTAAAACAGTACATTGTGCTCTTTTTTATTTAACATCTTGTTACTAATAAGATTTACGCGGGAGTAATGAGTTTTATTTATTCTATTTCAAATTTGATTTAAAAATGTTAAAACCATTTTTCATTTAAGCTCCACTGACATTTTTCGGATTGCCTGAATAAGTTGAATTATTACGAACTGGATTGGATATTAAGTTAAATATCAAGTTAGTTTCGTAAATTGACTAACAAGCCAACCAAAAAAATTTAAGGCTGTATGAATAATAACAATTAGTGGGTACACCGTAAGTCGTGTACTTAACATATTATTATTTTTTGTTTGATTTTTTTTGTTTCCATTGAATATTATATGTCCCCGCCGTTGCACTTACGTACTGTATATCTACAATAATAGTAATAATATAATTACTCGCTATCATTTTTAAAACTGTCGATTTTCCGAAGGACTTTTATGAAACTTATGGCAGTTCATTGAAAAAAAAAATGGTATTACACTGATAATAATAACGAATAACATGATGTTGAGCACCCCTGTTGTGCGACAGCCGAAATTATTGGGATGTCTACTTGTGTTTCCCTTCTTCAAATTTATTAATTTATACGTTCGTGTACAATAACAGTGAATTTATCAGTGCGGAAAACAAGAATGCGTATAGTAATTATTGTAACGATGCTCATTTCACGGTTCGGATTGTAATATTCTTGTCCGTTTCTCTCGCCTCCGCTGTTCTCATCACTATCCAGAAAAATTGAAAATTCCGAAGTAGTAAGTTTACGAAAAAAAAAAAAAAATTAAAAAAAAATTTGCAGTACGTGTGCACTTACGTCTTTACTATGTTCGTACACAATTATTTTAACCTCGATGGATTTTCGGTGAGATGACGAACATATTTCCTTGCCCTTGAGTCACGGATCAATAATTCGATTCGCACACAATTAACGCAAACAGTACATATTAATTGCGATGTGCCATCATAATACTTATGTAAGTTGCATCTGCCTCCGCAGGTCGGTTCAACAACGCTCGGTCTCAAGGTGAAGTACGATAATAATAGTAACAATAATAATAATAATAATAATAATAATAATAATAATAGGAATATTGTTGGGGAAAAGAAAAAAAAGAAAAATCATTGCCGTTCACAAGTCTATGCCTTTGTTGTTATAATTTAACATTTTTCGAGTACGTCAAAATGTCTGCGTTCGAGTAAAACGCGCGTTAACAGTGCGGTGAGATCGAGTACGAGGAAAAAAATAATATTACGCTTAGGTTTTTTTTTCTTACTTTATTTTTTCGTACCGTTTTCGTTCATAAATAATTTACTATAAAGGTGTATGTTACCGTCATGTTACCGTATTACTCGTCGACAGTTCGCGGACTGTGCGTGTTCGTAAGGAACACTACAATATACTATACTCGCTCAATAGTACGCTTATTCGTTAACAATTTCAAAAAATAATCGAGAAGACTGAAAACAATGAAAAAGTTTTACTGAACTATTCAGTATTTTTGGTGAGTTTAATAATTATTATTTTTAACGAATGTTTCTTAATTTTAATTTTTTACATTTACGTGACAATAAAGAGTGTTTGATAAATTTACCGATTTAAATGCATTTCGAATTAATGCATTTTGTTTTCTTATGAAATCAATTCAGAGCTCGTAATTTTTTTAATTATTCACATATAGTATTATATTGTAGTATTGATATTTAGTGTTAGTATGGCATTAAAATCAAAATACAATAATTGATCTTTGAATCATCGCAAATACTATAAATAAATAATACATTGTTTTGCAACAGTAAATTCACAACACACTTAGCTTATTTATTTTTGACACGATTATTTCAAATCCATTTGGATATCTAAACAAAAAGCATATTATTAAAAAAAAATAGTGCAGAATAGATTTTAATTTTTAATTTTCTTTAGTTTCGATGTAACATGCGTATTCCGTTGACATGATTTTACAAAAATATTCCTAATAAATATCGATTTACTTACTAAATACATATGTTTGTTACTTTATTAGCAAAACTCAAATATTTTTTACATCGTTAACTGTTATCTTGTGTTATGGCGTACTTCATAGTATTAATTGATCATGATCCGTCTGAAATGTATCAATCTTCATTAATAACTTATATATATTTAATTTATAAATTATAAAAACAACCTTTAGGTTATACAACATTTTGTATTATTTATTTTTTTGAGATTCACACGGAAGATTCTTATTTGCACGAAGTTAGACTGATTGTTATTGTTCATTATTTGTTATTAAAAATTGTTCATACCGTTTTGTGACATTAATTTTACTTTTTCTTTACTCATTAATCTAATATTTGATATCAGTGTATTGTTAATACTGTACGGTTATATTAATATTGTTATTAATCATGATCAAAGTCATAACATTAAATACTTCTGTTTATTATTATAATAGTATATATTATGTAGTTAAACGTGATCAAAGCCGTAGCATGAAATACTTTTGATCTTGTTTACAACATTTTGAATTCCGTAACAAAGGTTGACAAAATTCCGTTTAATTACGAAATTCTCAAGTTCAGCTGATCAATGGCGCACAGAAGTATTTTGAGAGCACATGTAACAAAAAAAGTTAACTCTCTACCAACCAATTTTTTTTTTTTAAAAAAAAAAAACGTTTATTTGTTGTAACTATAATTAACTCTTAAAATAATTATAAATTTAAGAAATTAAGATTTATTATAATTAATTAAAATTAAGATGTCTACACCCAGTGCCGTATAGATATAATGTTTGTGTTGTAATAATAATGTTATTTGTTTACCATAATCCATAATGTTTGGAATCCAAGTTGTCCAATTATATACCCACCGACCCACCCATACACCCACCCCCGACGAGAGTACATGCAATTGAACCCCTCTGATAACCTGTCTGGGCCCCACTGCAGCTGATGTACCTACGTGAAACTTGGTTGAGTTCTCCTGTATATGTTCAGTGTAGACTATTTTAATAATTGAGTACGTAGAAAATAGTAACATTATGTTACTAGTACTAGTACTAGTACTACATTATTATTATGTCTACCTTTACCAAATTTAAAAATATTATTTTTGTCAGATGTTTAACAGTTAATTACGTTATGTTGAAATCTTAAAAATATCAGCTTGCCGTCGAAACCACCATACCAATTAATTTTAAATATTAAGGGGATATACTTATTACTAATACATTAGAAAAGGGATTTTTTAAAAATCCAATTTTGAAGGGCTAAAATAGTCTTAGACTCTGGACAGAATTTAAATATTTTTTCATTTTTTCGCCAAGAAAATACTTTATTTTATTAATCGTGTCATCAGTGATAAATAAAAATTGCACTTCCCAAAACTGCTAATTGGATCGTAAAAACAGTTAATTGCACTACAAAATTAGTCTTTGTGTAATGATTTTACTTAATATTTTTCTACCAGATCGTCAATGGGATAATATATTATCATTATAATTATTGAAACATTACAATGCATAGCCGTGGAAGTGAAACGTCGGAAAATGGAACACGTAGTCATTAAACGTTATAATTAGTATTATTGTTGTTTCTGAATTTCGTGGACGAAAAAAATGGTCGCAAAGAATATATTTGTCAAGAAATCCTATTAGTGTGTGCGTAGAGGATGTAAAAAATCGATACGAGTGGAGGTTTTGGACAGAGATGGCCGACCTCAAATAGTTGGGAGAAAGGTGAGGGAGAAGAAAAAGAAATTATATTCTTATTGTATTTATCCGACCCGCTAAATTGATATTTAACACGTTTGTAATAAGATTTGGTGCGAATATTGTACATTTATGTTGTTTTAAATAGTATTAACTAATTTCCTGATATTTTACACGGCTTATCAATAACCAATTATGTAGTCGGTTAATTTAAATATTTAATAATTATGTGTTTAAAAGTGATAGTAATATTACTACCACTATCGGTGTTTTAGCAAATATCAAATTGAATATTAAAAGATGTACGTTATTTTTTTTTGTAACATTGTTATTTTTTAATAAAACATCACGAATTTATTGTTTTTTGAATTTTCATGTTTCTAATTTCAGTAAATGTTATTCATACTATTTTTTAAAATATAAAAATCTTTTTTTAACACAAACAATAGATGGGTATCTGGTACATCCAAGCATTCGTATATGGACTAGAAAGAAAATCATTAAATATTTCTTAATAAAAATAGTTTCAATATTGAAAACTGTAATTGTGTTTAATTAATGGGTCAAATCAGTCATTGTTGATTTTCCATTTTAAGTAAAGAATTTTTTTTGACGAACACATTCTATACAAAAAAAGTCACTATTGAAACCATTATGAACAAGAGCAGCGTTTCAATCAAAAGACAAAAGCGTTTGAAGAAGATTCAAATTTTTTCTCTTTATTTTCTGATGTTATTGTTTTTTCCGTAGGAAAATATGCGAGAAAGTCTATATGGCAGTATTTACTGGAATAACGTTACTTAATACGATATATGATAAAATAACAAGAATGAATAACATTTCTGAACAAAACCAATAAAATAATAGCCAAAGCGTAAGAATAGGGTCAAGACAGTGATTGAATGAGAAAGAGAGAGAGAGGAGAGAGATTATTTAAAGTGGCGAAGAAGTGACATAGTACTTCTGGCATCAGATGTATTTTAGTATCGATCAGTGTAGTGTTTTAAGCAAACATTTTTTTCTCAAGTTATTTGATTACGATAAGTAAGAAATTAAAATTATATTACTAGTATATATCAATAGTAAGTCTCATCTATTAATATTATTTCTACGTAGATCTGCTGTCACTTTTAACTTTATTGTAATATTTCTTCGCAATAAAATAAAATTATTTGAAGTATGCTTTTGTAAAACTCTTTCATTGTTATTGGCTTGTCTGGAACACAGGATTTTGGGTGTTTGATTTATTTGATTAACAAAATGAACAATTGTTTTCGAGTTTCAGCCAATACATTTTTATCGTGTTATTGAAACGCAGTGTTTCTTTTTCTCTTATCTTTTTAAATTTTTTTATAATACTTCTCGTTTTGTGTGTACATCTTTTTTTTAAATATTTTTTGGTGCACAAAAATAAAGTATTTGGATAAACTCTCCGGGTAAATACTTAGCCGTCGATTCCGAATGATTTTTATATCTCATATATTCATCATATAATTTCGTAGTTCAACCATCGGTTTTAACACGAACGAATTTGAATATTTGCAAACGATGAAAACTTAACTTTTTTTTTATTAAACTTAACTCGATCGCTGTTAATACACGACTTCTTTTTATTTAATGGACAACTCGCAGTAGTAGATTTTTTATCAACATTTATGTTTTATACAAATTTTTTTATAACCATACCTAATAATGTGACGCGTATATGCATGGATTGAATCATTCTCGCGAACAATGACGGGGAAAAAAAAGAGGATAGGTCGAGATCGCGCGCGATCTCCATATCGTACTGTCTCCAGTACAGTATAGTTGCCGGGTAAACTCGGTCGCAGCTAATAAGCAATTATGACCGTTTGGAATTTGCGAAGAAAAAAAAGAGAAGGAAAAAAAAATAAAATGACGGACAATGGTAGAACAATTATATCATTAATATTACAACATTAAATTAAACCCGCGTCATGATCTTATGCAATAATGTGGGATTAGGGTTATACGAGAGACGCGTTCGACTCAGGAGTTGGCTTCAAAGGGGACAATTTATTTCAATCATTTTTGGCGGGGCAAAAAAATGGAAAGAGAAAACGCCGGTGGCGTTCTCTCGGTACCGGCTACCGCAGACTTAGACTCGGGATGGCAAAGCATCGCCATTTTTCACGACACCGAATCTGACGGATATGTGCCGACACAACCGAAATCCTAAATTCTCATTGGGCTATATAATTACGAGTATTTTATTTAATTGAATTCCCTTGATTATTTCACGAACGTCTATCCATTTAATACGAATATGGACAACAACGAAGCACATAATACATGCTTAGAGTACGACGAAGAAGGACAAGATTCAAGGAAAAGATGATGTTCGGGAAAAGGACATACGAAGAGATAGAAAGAGAGAGTGAAGAGGACGAAATGTGCACGATTAACCGGGTTAACGAGAGTGATCAATTGCCCATCGACTGCATTTGGACAAAACTTTAACAGCCGAGCTGGTATCCGCGGAGAAAACAAACTCCAAATTCGATCTTGCACACGTCAAAGAGACGAATCTGGTACGCGTGAAAAGGGTGGTGGACAGTGAAAGATTGTGTGAAAAAGCTTTCCCTTTTTTCTTCACGCTCCTCGCCCGTCACTTCCGAACGGTTTTGAGCGTCCTGTGTGTCCCGAGATGACATCGCACGGAGTCTGCAGATAGGTCCCAAATTTTCGGCCCATTACTCCTGTGGTAAACAATTATCCTGTTCGATAAAATCGACCCTTATTGGAGGGTTTAAAACGTCTTAACCGTTTAAGTCACTCGTAACGCTTCGATTAATTAAAAATCTTATATTTTGCAACACGGTAAACCTAACTGATTCAAATATTTCTGGTATTATATGATATGTTATACGATACTCACATGAATTCCCACGGATTTCATGGATTTCATAGAATTTATTAATAATTTATTTTGTTTACGAGTTTATTGAAAACAATCCATTCTAAATGTAACCGTTAACTCAACAATGCGTAATTTGACATTAGTTTTGAAGTCAGATATTTATTTGATGCATGGGTAAAATGTTCAACATTATGTTTAATATGGTCAAAAATGGTCGAATGATTGAAATGATTTTAATAAAAATAACTAATAATACAAAAGAATTCCTTCTAGGTGTTACAAAGAATGAAAATGTTTTTTTTTTTTTTTTTTTTTTTTTATCGGAGTACTCTTAGCACCATAAACTGATACGGGTAGAATCATATCTTGAGGAGAAATAATGAAATAGACGCTTTTCGTGTTATATTGTGATCAACACCGGATTGAAGGTTAAGCATAAAAGCTAAAGGCTTAGATTAAATCTTGGTAAGTCAGGGTACAACTAACAATCGGAGGCTATTTTGAAAATAATTATGAACGTAAATTTTATCTATTTCTTTAATACACATAAAAGTTAAATAACAGCAATAATTAAAAAAATTATAATTACATAATAACTATAATAATAATATGAATATAAAGTCAATGAATCTAATGAAAAATTATATAATTTTGTTTAATATTCGTTTGATTTGTTGAATTATTATACAATATTTGATAGTAAAATTTTTTAAAAGGCCCATGGAAAAAACTTCAGTCTTAAAGCCCCGTTGTATTAGATTTCCGGTACAGTGGCATCATTTGGACCGCGCAGGGTATACATTTGCGTATTTAAAATCTATTATTGTAGTAATTTGGCCCACTTTATAAATTGATTGGCCTGAATAATTATTGTTAGTGGTTTGCGGTCAATAGATTTTATTTTTAATTAATATTTTGTTTTTCTTCTTATTTAAAAACAAAAACATGAGACGTTACAAAATTATCAAAATATTTCTTATTGCGATTATTCGTAAATCGTTATCATTCAAGATGTGCGTAATTACGATAATTTAATTTTATTATCTATCAACTTTTATCAACTTAATCTACCATCAACTGCTAGCCTATTTAACAGTAATTCAAATTTCATAATGATAATCTATTATTGATAATTGAAAATATTAAAACATTACCTAAATAATATTTTATGTGTTGATATTTTATCTGTAAATAAGTTTGCAAGCATGAAGATGCATCGGTATCCTCTTAAATATTAACAAAAAATATAACTATATAATTGTAACTGTACCAAATAAACGCTTTATTACAATATTTATTATCATCTCTGGCTTTACTGTTTTTCTTAGTTAATTGATTTAGTAAATACCATTATTATAATGTTGTCATTAATAAATGGTAAAAATATTATTATTTTATTTTTGTTGTGTTGAAAATTCTAGATAAGTTTAGTGGCCTGCTCTATACGCCATGCGTATTAAAAAAAAAAAATTGAAATGACGCCACTGTTCCGGTACACCCATTAAATGTGGCTCTGACTGTGATCGTGTTGATACTGTGACTATAAGAGTGTGTGTGTGCAGCGAATGACTATCAGAATATTGTTTAAAACGTCATCACGTTTAGGATAGTCATTAAAACTACTTTTACAACTGAAATAGGTTAAATATTAAATAGATATTTTTTACTAGTGTCAATATATTAATGAATAATAATTTTGTTGACCATTTTTATTCTTTAACATCTTTTCGAAATTTTTAACATCATACTAAATCGATGTATGCGCGGTCCGCTGCAGCGTCCGATTGTGATAGTCACTTAACCGATACGATAGCGGATAACTTATTAAATTAAATTTACATAGGTGTTATATGTTATTCCAGTGATTTTAAACTCTTGCAGAATTTCAACGAGTAATTAACAAGCGACAATCATTGTATACATAAGAAAAAAATAAAATAAAATTAATAAATGCATACATGTTTACGTACATTTTAATTATATTGATACAAGCACTACGTTGTACGCAACAAATGCAAATATCAACGCCTGATGTTTGTTTCAAATGTTCTGCGGTAGCCTACTATTGAACTGCAGTATAATATAAACATTTTATCCATTTTGTATTAAATCCTTTCAAACATTATTTTCACTCGTGTTGTTGAACATATTATTGATATTAATAGAAATGAGATTTCGCGGTTTCGAATATAATTGGCATTATTTCCGTGATGACCGAAAGTTTTTTCAGTAAATGGTGTTCCTAACCTGCCAAAAATAATAACTGACACCGCGAATGTCACAAAATTGTAACAAGTCTCGTGTTTTTAAAGCGCATATTCGAACACAATATTATACGCAGCCAGGAAATAAGCATTAGACGCATGTCATTTAAAATCAAATTTTCATTTAGACGTTACATTTTGTCTTTGAATTAATTCAGTATATTATTTTATAGTCATTATAAATGTTTCTTATGCGTATCAACTCTTCCTACCAACACTCGTTTAATTTTAAAAGTCATCTAAACTTTCGATTACGATCCGAGAATAAATCAAACGCACTATAAATGAGAACAAAATGTTTTAGTTCTTAAAAAAAGTCCAGTTGTTTTTGAATGGGTTGTGGGTAGATTCGGATTTTTGCCGTCTATTAATATCCGTTGGCGAATAAAATGACTTATATCGTTTACTTTTTCATATTTGCACATAATTATAGTGGCACTTATCTTATTCCGTAAGCCCCCTGTCGGTTCCGTCGACGCAAAACCGTTGATTTTAACATTCGTTGCGGGCCTTGATTTTTTTTTACAAACCACATAATTATTGTATTATGTCGGTTGACCTTGATCAGGGGAAAAAAAATGTTCTAAAAGTGACTTTGAATCTGTTTCGTATATAAAACGAACCCACTTGAACTTGATGCTCAGCCTCGGACAAACTTAACATTTAAAGTTCATTGGATTGAGAATTTCATGTGTAGTATAGAGCGACTTTTCGTTTGTTTATGAGAATTAAAGCTGACTGCGTCGTAGATATCCTTGAATGATACGATTTTTTGTGCGCACATTTTGCGGGTATGTGCTCTAAGACGTTTCAATAAGAGTTTTGAAAAATAGGCGCATTTAATCGATTTTTTTTTCTGGAACACAATTACGACGGTAATTTATATTTTTGATTCAATAATATCGATTTCATTCAGGAAAAACAAAACTAAATATTATTTAACAACAACAATGGTATTGTCCAAAAGCATTGCGGCAACATTATGATCATTAAAAGATATTCTACTTATGCAACAGCATAGAGTGCAATGTTTGAACTCAAGAAAATTAAAATTACACCACAGTACCACCAATAATGATTTGACGATTTTACAATCAATCTATTCTGCCGCGCCATCAAAAGTGTCGCTGCCGCATGACTATTGTTTACAACAACAATTTTTGTATCATGATTTCTGTACTGCAGTTTCAATGTCACGCATAATGCGCAATGTTATACTGTAATGTGAGTTTAAACAATAAAATCTTTTACTCCGTGTGATCGGGATGAGTTTTGGTACAAATTATAACATGATATTCGTGTTAACAATAGTAGGAATCACGTTCATAAATTTTTAATGATTTGAAAAAAAAATAAGCTCATGTTATAATAGATGTGTGTGTGTGTGAATGTGTTTGGAATCAATAATAATTAAAATGTGTATCGCGCGCAGTCGTTTTCTATAACGAGTTATTCGAACAGCATGAAATTATCGATAAACAAAAGATAAGTTATTGTGCAGATATAAGATTATGTAGAACACTTGTGTATTTGCAGATAAAGAAGATTGATTTGAAGCTGTACTTTTTTTTTTAATTTATAATTTTTTATGGAGACTATATGATGTATTTTATACGTGACGCGTATACTAAGCTAATATTCGTTGAAAGTCTGGAAAATCTGGATTTACTGTTTAGTAAAATGAAATGATTAAAGAACAATAAAATGTAATCATACCGATTAATTAAATTAAGTATCGGACAATTAATATCTATAATTATTGCATGTTATCATGCGTAATGTAACATTCTCAACAAGTGTATCATTATCCAATCGTAGAAGACGTATATAATCATTATTTTCCGGACTTCTGTCCATGTTTCGATTATAAAAACAAAAAAATAAAATAAATTAATACTTTTATTTTTGATTAAAGTTTATATAGTGTACATAAAATATAAAATAGGAGTAATCGATATTTCGTTTTACAGTTCGTTGCAGTCAATCATTGTTGATCAAAACACTCATTAATCATCGAAAGACAATTTTAACGGTAGAATCGAAAACCAAATCAAATCAAATGGATTCTGAATCATTTAAAGAGTGCGGAAAGACGGTCATCGACTATATAGCCAATTATATGGACAATATTCGAGACAGGTAACCATATAATTAATTATATGTATTGAAATTCGCAATCAAACAAGAAGTCTGTGGCAAATTAATATAATGCACGCCTTCTCTAAGCAGTTGCGTCGAGTTCTTAAAATGGGATGTCGAGTGTAAAAAACATTCTATTAATTCTGACGATAGGAATTTTTTTTATTTTACATACGAATAGACAAAATAGGGTAAAATGTGATGATTATTGTGTTACGAGCAATGAACAATTTATCGTTCTAAGACTAAGCCGCTACGGTGTTATGTACCGTACGGTGCGCATATTACGATTATTATAACGACGGTGTGGCGTATGGACGGATGCAATGTTATCAATAGCACACACTTAATCTCACCAACATGGGTCGAAAACAGAACAGCTAGTAATTACCATGTCCAGGGAAAATGCTAAAATTATGCCCTATAATATGACTAATAATCAAATACCGTTTCCTACAATTTTTTCCTAATAATTAGCATATAATCATATCTATTAAGTTTTAAACGTATCATCGGTAAAAAAGTTAAAAATATCAAAATTGTAGTCGATAATAGACTACAAAAAAAACACCTTTTAAAATGAATTCCCCATCTTTCTCTTCTTAGTTCCGCATACTAATGGCGACGAATCCCAAAATAATTTAAAACCATATTGTTCTTGGTAAACGTCGCCCATAAAACTACATGCAACAGCAATCACGTGGCAGGCAATTTTTTTAGGGGGATCCACCGATCCCCTCGACTCACAATTTAAGCGCCGTCAGGTGCTGTGGCATGTTTCACCCAACGAGTTATTGTTGTTGCTTAGAGTTGGATTTAAATTCAGGCAGAACGTGAGTCGAAGGACGAATAATTATTGTTGTGGAACCGTTTCAGGCCCGTGCTGTCCACCGTGGAGCCAGGCTACCTGTATAAGCTGACGCCGTCTGAAGCGCCCGTGAAAGGGGAACACTGGAAGACGGTGCTAGCTGACGTGGAGAATGTGATCATGCCGGGGATCACCCACTGGAACTCGCCGCAGTTCCACGCCTTCTTCCCAACCGCCAACTCGTACCCGGCCATTGTAGGCGACATGCTGTGCAACGGTATCGGATGCATAGGATTTTCTTGGGTACGCGTACGATTTTTTACCGTCCGACGTGGCGATGAGCAAACTAAAGACCGTGGCGCTCTTAGTCCTGCAGAGTTATTATACTCTTGGCCCTTGTCTTGATCTTGGCTGCAGGACCAAGACCGATTTTGCTCATCACTATTGTTTGATATCAACTATAGCCACCCATATTGTTTACATGCGTGCGTGTAACAAATCGTAGTTCCGACTGCAATCGGATTCGATTGTGTGTGACATATACCGACACTTTCAAGTGAAAATGTTCAAGCTTTCGTTTTTAGAACGTTACACCCGCCGAATGCAATTTTTACTTCTGATAATCTTGAATACGTACGTGCATGCTTTGATTTTTAAAACTTTTTTCTTCTTTTTTTTTTTTGTTAGATAACGAGCCCGGCTTGTACCGAACTTGAAGTGCAAGTTATGAATTGGTTCGGGAAAATTTTGGATCTGCCTAAAGAGTTCTTGAACGAGTCCGAAGGTCCGGGTGGTGGTGTATTGCAGGTAATTATCGAATGACAAGAGTTAAATTTGGTGCAAATCGATTACAATAAATTGAATAATGTTCGCGGTACCGCAACAAGGGTGTATGTTTCAGGCATACATGCATAAAATTATGTACATAGATCGTATTTGTGCGAAAATGGCGCTGTATTGACTAACAGAGATTGCAACTGTGTAAGACTAACTTCGAATCGGCATAAAGCAATGTGCGATAGTATCCACGTACAATATACTTAACGTTTGCCGTACAATTTTGTGCATTGTTATACTATCTACAATAACCCCATTTGATTGTTCATACGATCACGGTGCGCCGTACGCAAACCGTTTTCAATCCTACCTTTATGTCTCACCGTTAAGTTTCGCTGTGATCCACGTGCACGTATTGTTGCGCTGCGCTCATGTTTGCAATTTGTACGCAGATGTGCGGTTACAACCGATATTTGTACAACATGGCGCATGCGTGTACCGACAACCGAGTAGATAACAGTTAACATAGTTTGCGATTGTGTTTCGCTGACCACAGAGCTAATGGAATAAATTCCGTTTCTCGTGTTCTACTAATATACGTCGTATCTCTGCAGGGAAGTGCCAGCGAAGCCACGTTGGTGTGCTTGTTAGCCGCCAAAGACCGTGCGACTAAACGGATGAAAACGTTTAATCCGAGTATGGAGGATGGAGAGATCAAAGCTAAACTCGTGGCCTACACTTCGGGTAACGTTTCGTGGGACACCGTTCGGCGCACAACGCGTTGCACGTTATATTACGAAATCAATGATCGTTGATTTACTTTTGTCTGATTTTCTCCCAGATCAATCGAATTCGAGCGTCGAAAAAGCTGGTCTCCTCGGCTCTATGCCTATGCGGCTTCTCGAAACGGACAAAGACGGGCGGATGACCGGTCCGATATTGGCCAAAGCAATTGCGGAGGACCTCGCCAAAGGACTGATTCCTTGTTACGTAGTCGCTACCTTGGGTACTACCGGTACTTGCGCGTTCGATTGCTTGGAAACGCTGGGCCCCATATGCAACGAAAACAATATTTGGTTGCACGTTGACGCGGCGTACGCAGGTACGGTGTAATCAACTGAACTCGTCATCAAAACGAAACATACGGGATTGGAATTTAAAATTTAAAATTTATATATATTCATCGTGCAATAGACTTTTAAAATATTACCTCAATGTGCTCAGCGAATGCCGGTCAATCCTTTGCCTACTGCAACGGTTAAAATTAAAATGTTAAACTTTGACAAACTTTGAACTGCTTTTGCGAAAAAAAGAAATAAAACTTGAGCTAATTTAAATTATAATCGAAGAAAATCCTTGATTTTTCCGTTAGTCGTTTACCGGGCGTCATTGTTATCTGTTAGGTGCTGCTTTCATTTTGCCGGAATACAGGCATCTGATGGCCGGTGTGCAATACGCTGACTCGTTTGACGTGAACTTGCATAAATGGCTGCTAGTGAACTTTGACTGTTCCGCCATGTGGGTGAAGAATGCGACTTATCTTGTGGACGCATTCAACGTGGACCGCGTGTACTTAAAGCACAGCTATCAGAGCCAGGATCCACAAATACCCGACTACAGGGTAATTATTTGTCGATAATAATATATATTTATGCTATGCAATGTGTCACGTATTATATCTACGTATTCGAGTTGTACAGAATACCATTTGTGAAAAAAGATGAGAGAGGTTTTACATTTTAGACTTGACCTATTATTAGAATTACGTTTTTGGCGCACTGTGCCTTTTAAGTATGTTTTAAATTATCGCAGATCTGAGAAAAATTATTAGATTTAGTATATGTAAGAATAGTTAAACTAATCATTGATGTATTTTAATATCATGAGAATCCTTTTTAAATATCCTTAGATTTTTTATAATTGAATTAAATTCAAGATTTATAAATGATCTATTTATAATTTTAATCTCATTTGATTTTACTTTGTATGTATCACAAATTTCTTCTATTGACTGATATATAGGAATGTCAAAACTTAAATAATTTTATTTTAATTTACTGTCCATGCTATGATTACTGTATCTATTATTAAAAAAAAATGCATTCATAAGAAAATGTTGTTAAATATATTGTATTGCTAGTTTTTACCACCATTGATTTTATTAGTAATAGTTAAGGCTTACTAAAACCATTATTTTATGAAACAACTGCAGTCTTATGCCATACTTTTTGAAAATCGACGCCTTAATTCTTAAAAACTTCTTTTAGTTTCTTTTACTATTTGATTTACTAATTTTTGCTAATCATTAGCTTTTGTTAATACCGACTTCATAGTTTCACGTCAAACATCATGCCAATTTCAAAACTTCAAAAGTTAGTGGCCAAATTAATTATTTAGAAATTCTTAAAATGGACATGTAAATTCTTAATAATCAATAGCTTTCGTTTGGTACTGATTTAAAAAAAATTTTTGGTAAAAATGGGTGGGATACGTGAAATTGGTTCCACATTTAATTTGTTGGTTTCATGGTGAAAATTCGGACTTACAAATTCTAAAAATTGATTTGCAAATACTTGTAAATAACTTATAAAATAATTGCACAGATTTAAAAAAGTTGCAATGGAAATTACTTCACGAACGTCGCTAAATGTACTATATACGCGTCGAATGTTGATGCATGTCAATAAATTAATTAATAAACGGGATGTTTGTATTATAGCACTGGCAAATACCGTTGGGCCGCAGGTTTAGATCGTTGAAAATGTGGTTCGTTTTGCGATTGTACGGTGTAGAAGGACTGCAAGCTCACATCCGAAAACAAATGAACTTGGCTGAACTGTTCGGGAAACTCGTCGAACAGGATCCGAGATTCGAAATTGTCATGCCGGTTACGATGGGTCTAGTTTGCTTTCGATTAAAGGTACGAATACGTTTTCATTATTTCCGTACTATCGTGTCGCGTTCGAACGTTTTTTTTTATTTCGTTCGTTTAAATAAGATTTATGGAAAGATCATATCGTAAAACGTACAGAACTATATACAGTATGAGGCAGAAAGCCAAAAAACATTAAAGTACATGTTATATATATTTATATATATACAGCAGCCATTACATTACACCACGGATATAAAAACATTAAGAACACGCAAAACGATATTATGTTTTTTACTCATTGTCTACGGCGTTTTTCACTACCGTTCGAATGCATAATTCAATACTGCTGAAATTAACATAGTTCCAATGAAATTCAAACCCAAAAACAATGATGTGAGCGCGAATTAAAACCGTAAATTATCGTTGTTGGTAATTACTATTTTATGGCATTTTATTTCGAACACACCGCCAATAAATTTCATCTGAACTTTTATTTGTTCTAACGAGAGTTATTAGAACTATTTTTACGAATATTCGTAAAAAGTTTAGACATACTGAGTTTTAACAATAAATGTCATGCATGATGGTGGAAATTTTCGAAAGTCGAACCATTGACTGCGAATTGATAAATCTCTAACCGATCAACAAAGACGCCTCGACGGATTATTAATTTTGTATGTATTAAGAAAACGTCACATCCACATGTGCTGCATCCTCGCCTGAAACACGTACAACATAGCAAATTCGTATTCAGAGTAAACCGACATTTCATCAAACTCTAAGGCCGTTTTCACACACACCGATAAAATCGGAACCAGATTCGGTGTCTGATGCAATGTAATTAAGTTAGTGCTTTCACATATAGACCGGAACGGTAAATTTGTCGGTCCGGTGGACGATTTCGGAATTCGCAGTCGGCGTTAAATTCGATAATTCGAATGCTGGACTGATCTCCGAATTATCAATCTCAATGTTTTCTTATACAAACGTGTACACACAGGTTAGCACAGGTCTTGTCGGTACCGGGGGGAAACCTAAAAATAATTATATTGATATGATATGATTCCTTCCAAGTACCTTACACTTAATATAGGATGAATCCAATATCGTCTTTTAATGTTGTCTCAACGGTACTTCCTTCGAAGGTACAGTAGTCCAAACAAATGACGTTTGTTAAGAGCAGCAAACATTGTTGAGAACAACAGAGAAAATAACTAAAACACGACTTCACCCAAGTGAGTACAAAAACTGTTAAGATTGTTTTTTCATTGTGTGTGAAATAAAACCGGCACCGACTTAGGTTTTACCGGTATGTGTGAAAAAAGCGAACAACCGGTACCGGCTCCGGTTCCGATTTGACCAGTGTGTGTGAAAACGGCCTAAGGGAAGAACATTATCTGTGTTTTGTTGGTAAGTTTTTCCCGATATTTTAATTATGAGTTTATTTTAATAATTAAAATAAGCTAAATAATTTAAATAATTAAATTAAAATAATAATATTTTACAAACTCATAACTCACTTAAAAATTAAAGTATCGGAAAAAACTCACCAACAATATAGATCAGCGTTTCTCAACCTTTTTTCGTTTACGTACCCCTTGACCTCTTACTACTGTTTTACGTACCCCCAAATATAAATTTATTATATATTCACACACAATACAAATAAGATATTATGAAATAAGTTCAATGATGGAAAATTTGAAAATAATATTTATTAATTAATTAATTTAATTAGCCATACAATTTACGTATATATATATAAGTAATATCAACTTTACAATTTAATATTTATGAGATCCTCGGGCTTGTTTGCTGGCACATCATTTTTTGAAATCTGGCTCCTCGGATGATAAGTAAAATCGTAAATTTGAACTCATAGAGAGTATATTACGATACTTATTTTTTATGTACGTGTACGACGAAAAGGCCCTCTCCACCAATACAATACTCGTGAACGGCAGCAGAACATTAAATGCTTTGTTTAAAAGCTCAGGATACTCTTCATTTACATCAGCCCAAAAAGCGATGAGAAAATTTTTTTTCAAATATTACCTCAAGTGAAGAATTCGTTTTCAGTTCAATAAGTTTTTCTTTTTCTCGTATTGATAAAACTGCAGATTCGAAATATTTTTCACTGAAAAGGATGCTATCCAGTAGTCTCCTTTTTTAAATTTTGGGAAGTATTTATTAAAAGCCGCCTTGAGTCCATTCAAATGTTGAATAACTTGAAATTTGATATCTTGCGATATCAGTTTATATCAGTTTCATAGATAACACAGAAGTCGTGCAGCGTTTCAAAAATTTCTGGTTGGTTATTTTCAATACACGACGTCCAAAACTCTAACTTTTTAACAAAAGATTCTATTTTGTCAGTAACTTGGAATATTGTTACTGGTGTACTGTTTTGAAGAGTCAAATTTAGATTATTTAATTAAAAAAAAAATATCGGATAAATATGCAAGTTTTTGAAGCCATGAATAGTTATTAAACTTTAATGAAAGCCGAAAAGGATGGTCTTCAAAGAAAATTATAACTTCATGTCACTGTTCAAACAAACGAGTAAGGACTTTACTTCGTGATAATCATCTAATCTTAGTATGAAGAAGGAGGGTTTTGTGAATACTGCTCATGTCTTTGCACAATGCTGAAAATATTCTGGAGTTCATATGGCGAGACTTGATGAAGTTCACTATTTTATAAGAATCATCCAGAACGTCCTCCAAATCAACAGATAAAGGTTTTGATGAGAGAGTTTGTCGATGGATGCAACAATGAGTCAACTTTACCAGGGGAGATACTGCTTTGACATGTGCCAGGAGACCAGAGTAACAACCTGACATAGACTTGCCACCATCAGTACTTAAACTACAACATTTTGATCACATTATTCTCTTTTCAATGAAGTTAGAGTTATTAGCATGGAAAATTTCTGAACCTGTTGTGCGTTCAGTAAGAGGATGGCAAAGCAAAAGCTCTTTTACGCTTTCATTTTCTTTCAAATACCTTGCAATCACTAACAAAACAGCTAGTTGTGCAACATCAGTACTTTCATCAACTTTAATGGAAAACAATTGACTATCATTGATGCCTTTTAATAGTGTCTCCTCAATGTCATTAGAAATATTATTGATTCTACAACTAACAGTGTCATTTGATAGTGGGATAGAATTTATTTTATTGACATAGTCTTTTTCGAACATACAAGAAACTGCGTCTTTAATGCTTGGCAAAATCATATTTTCACCAAAGGTTTTTACCACTTTTGGCAATTCGGTAACTAATTCGAAAAGATGCTTCAAGATCATCTTCATTAGCACTACCTGAAGATAGATAGGTATGCATATTGCACTTATTTTTATTTTCTAGTAAACGTTTGAAAAAAGTAACATTTTTGTCCTTTAAATCTGAATGTTTTGTATTCAAATGACGAGTAAGTAGTGAAGGCTTCATACTACCTTTATATAGTACTTCTCCACAAACAACACATTCAGATCTAGGAACATTTTCTATCATAACGAATGAAAATCCTTGTGACAAATAATCTTTACTATATTTCCTTATCTTTACCGGGAGTGGAACAAGAAGTTTAGTAGCACTAACCTGTGGTAATTTTTTCATAGGATTTTCTTCGGCTGGATTAGTAACCAATGACGATACGTCTTGTGAATCGGTTGGTTTAGTTATCATAATTTTCCTTTGACTAAAGTTACCAGTTTTTAACCAATGATCCATAGTCGAAAATATTATAAAATATGACAAAATAATAATTACGAAAGATTTTTATGTACGTCGTATGTGACACGGACACACTGAAAGCAAGTGACAGACTAATTATTAGAATAGATTTCGATATCTAACTAACAGAGAGTGATGTATATGAGATAAAAATAGTTAATGGATTTTTAATAGACAAATTATTGATATTGTATTGAACAACGTTACGTAACCCGATATGATAAAATCCAGTGTCCTGTGCCCAATGCTCGACTTGAGGGGGGACGCAGGGGGACGGAGTACCACAGGTTGAGAAACGCTGATATAGATAACAAAAACACAAATGGGCTTATATAATTTTCCCTTAAAGTTTGATTATAGGTCAGTTAGCTGTAATATTAAAACTGTCAGACGGAGACAACACATGCGGGTGTGACACTATCTTAACTAGGATATAATAATATGTATTTACCGGTAGGCCACGATAACTATGAGAACTATACGTCTAGAATATGCGTCCCCAACATAACACACCGGAAATGTGTGTGCAGTAATCGATAATGGATACGGCTATCGTGTTTTTCAAAATCTGTTTGCGTTCCATGCGTTTTTGGCACATTTCCGCGATATCCGTTATCAACCATTCAAGTAAAATATTGATTTGCTCACTCAGATCTTAACTACCCATACATGGTATGCACCACACATGCAGCGTTTTCCCTCGCAAAACCAAAAAATATTGAGACCCCCTCAGTACAAGACGAAACACAGTTTTTTTTTCGGCCAATACCAATGCCAACGTCAATGTCCGGAACGATCGCGTAGAACGCAGTCTACGAGCGTTTTTCTTCAGCAATAGCTTATATAAAATTATTAATCTCTCTCTCTCTCTCTCTGATACTTCTTTTCCATCAGGGCAATAACATTTTGACGAAACACCTGTACGAGCGGCTAATGAACAGCGGACAGATCTATCTGGTCACGGCCAACGTCCGGTCACAATTGGTTATCCGTTTCGTGGTATGCAGCCGATTGACCGAAGAGGCAGACGTGCGCTTCGCATGGAACGAGATTCAGAGGCAGGCGGACGCAGTGTCCGGCACGGTCGCGGTGGTCGTCGTAGCAACCGCAGCTGATGCGTCAGCCGAGGTGACCACCGACGTGTGGCCGGATAAGATGGAACACCATGTGGCCGTCAAGTCACTGACGCAGGGGTGAACGGACCTCGCAGACGCCTCGCACAGTAACCATGACCATCATCATCCCCTCGAACCCGTATTGTACGTGATTCCGAGCAAAGGCTTTTTGTTTATTCGCACATGCAACGTGCAGCATGTTTATAATTTTTTCATTACTCGGTCCCGCATTAGATATTATGGTGTAAAGCGTGGGCATTTATTGTTTAGTCATTTTTTTTTTTTCAAACCATTATTTAATCTGTGTTTTACTCTTCATATTTTTCCGTTCCTCTACCGGCAATAATTCAAATTAAATAATTGTTGTTTTACTTTTTTTTTTTTTTTTTTTGTAACATCATATATAATAGTGCGCGATTGATAAAACCGAAATATGTTTTTGTTGTGCCCACAATGGAAACGGTTCTATGCCCATGTTTGATTCTTGCTTATCTAACATAATGTTCGTTCATTATTATTATTATAATTTTAAATTAAATATACCGTGTTGTGATAATATACTAACCTACTGTATTTACTGTATTTATCTAATTTACATTTCGTTTGTTAGGGTATGTAGTTCTTGTTTCTGTGTACGTTTTTTTTTTTTTTTTTTTTTCAATAAATTACTTAATTACATTTAAATAAAATGTTCTTATTCATTAAAGTTCGTTTACCGTGTTAGTAATTATTGTGGTACGGGGGAACGTATAAGTTCCCATGCTTGATGACCAGTTAAAAATCATACATGTGTATGCTGTGAGAATGTTTCGACAAGAAAAAAAATGAATCCGATAAACTATGTACGAGTAAACTCCTACGCGGATAAAACTTTTGACAAGTATAAATGTTCTTACCGCCTTATTGCCTACTCAGGATCGACAACTCAACCATACAATTGGCATGATTAAAATTTGTATATGTTTGTGTTTCGTAAAAGAAAATTTTTCGAGTATCTGGTCCGATTTCTTATCGAACATGGAATAATGCTTGGATTTGAACATAAATACGCACAATGATACATTAAATATTAAAATAATAAATATTAGGTACCTGTTCATATAGCCCAAGATGTAATGCGAAGTGAGGGTTACGTTTGGATCAGGTCTGGCTAACTCAAGGTGTTGAACTGCTATTTCTTCCTGTAAAAGACTCCGTGAATTCGACAACCAGCTCTGGAACCTTGAAGAGGCAATCAAACAAAATGAATAACCGATATCGTCGTTGGAGGCGACTTAAATGCAAACTCTAGTGAATGAGGCTCGGCCACGGAACCACGATAAACTCCGGATATACCCCCACCTACCAAAGGGTCAATTCAGAGTCGGTTATCAACGTAACATACAGGAGGTTAAGCCACAGCGTCCAAATCGTCGACCGAAAGGTTCTGGATACGTTCTCGATTAGCGACCATAAGTACATTAGTTTTGGTCTGCAGCCGACTATCCTACGGACGCTCCAGCCAAAGAAGAATCTCCTTCATCCGTCCGGAAATCGGCTTATCGGAAGTTGGGCCAATACGCCCTGGATATCTAAAAACTGAAACTCCTCCCAGGGGCTTGCAACAGCTGCATGCCTTTTAGACCAGCGATACGGCCAACGAAGATCTGTCTATTGGTGGACCCCGAAAATCGCCGATTCATAGAAGATGTGCTCTGCTTCGCAGCTAGGAGGAGGTACCAAAGAGCTGCAAGGATAACTGATGCCGACTTGGCGACAGTCCACCAGGCGGAATATCGCAAGCTCCGAAACCAGCTCAGAATGGCTATATGGAAAGCGCAGGAAGCGGTATGGACCGCATTATGCCGTGAGGTAGATAATGACCTTTGGTGCTTCCCGTATAGGGTGGTAACCAAGAAGCTAAGTCGAATCCCACCAGGAATTGAGGCTAGGGGCAAGGATGAGGAGATTGCCAACTATCTATTTCCGAATCTACCGCCCACCGACTGATCCGCCGTTCCACTTCCTGAGGACCTTTCTCCTGGTGCAGTTCACGGACCAATCCCGGATGAACCTCCTTTCTCCATCGAGAAACTGAAGTTGGCCTGCACCAGACTTCCCTATGGCAAAGCCTTTAGTTCGGACGGGATCCCGAATGAAGTTCTACGATGAGCGGCTACGGCCCACGCTCAAATATTCTTGGATCACCTCAACGTGAGTCTCCGTAGCAAAACCTTTCCAGCCCGATGGAAGAAATCGAGATATGATAAACCTGAACTACAGCCTTTCATCAATAGGCTACTAAACATGCTGAACAAATCAGCTAAATTTCTAAAAAAAATGCTACTTAAAAAGCTCAATGATCATTTTATGGAAGTAACGGCACAGAGGGCTGAAAGACAATTCGGGTTTAGGAACGGTAGGTCCACCGTGGACGTGATCGAAATGGTATTACAGGCTCCTAGAGGTGCTTTCATTGGAGCTGTTCAGCATTGCGACCGGCTCCTAATGGTCTCACTGGACGTAAAAAGGCGTTTAATACAGCTCCGTGACCGTGTATTGATGAGGCTCTTCGCAAGAAGAAGTGCCTTCAGTTCTTCACAAGGACCGTCCGTTCTTACCTAAAGAATAGGGAGATCTTGATAGGGGACAAACTTACCCCAAGACGCGTCACCTGTGAACTCCCTCAGGGTTTGGTTATAGTACCAACCCTATGGAACGCGTTCTATGATAGCTTTTTGGAGCTCCCTATGCCACCAGGTGCTCAGTTGGTCGCGTTCGCCGATGACGTTGCTGTCCTTGCCACTGCCAGGAACGCCATTAAAACCGAGGAAATTATGAACTCGGTTCTCGGCACTAGGGAGGGACGAAAATCATGACTGGGTGGAACGAAGCTCCAGACCGACTGGTTATTAACACCGGGTTGTGAAGATTTCATAATCATGAATGAGATTCTAGGCCGGCGTATGTATTCCAGACCGGGAAGAATGGAGCACAAGAAGTGATAAACTCTATTATTATTGTATCGATATATTGTCGCTATCATATAGCGAAAATAAATTGTACCTTATTTTATTAAATCAATAAACAATGGCACCAATGGGGAAGTACTGGGACAACCCGTTCCCCTGTTGGCGTCGGTTCAAACAAAAAAAAAAAAAGGATATATAATGCGTTTAATTTCATCATCGCATATGGGAAATTTATATTTTATATATTATATTACTTGTATTTTTTTTCCATGTCCACTTCATGATGCATGTATCCGTTCACCTGCCGTGTTTTGCGTAATGATAACTTCTTGTGAATTCAACCCCTGAAAAAAAAAATTCGCGTACAATTGTTATTACCTAAATATAATAATTATTCATTGTAGTCGTTTACCAAATCACGTCAACGCACGTGAGCTAGTATACAGAAGTTTTATGCAATGTCTATTATTTTTGTACTCAGTCAATACTCAGCCGTCGAGAAGAATGGAACAGGGAGGGTTAGAGCACCGTAGCCCGTACTTCCAAGAGGGCCCGTTGTCTCAGCTTTTTAAACAAAATTATTTTATAGTTTCATTCGCCGTAGTATAAGATGCAAATTTAAATATTTTTACTATACTAAAGTATGTACAAGTATGTAAAGTTAGAATGACTAACTTGGCTAAACAAATGTAAGTAAAGGGAGCCTGGAATTGATTAGCCCCGGGGCCCTTAAAAGTTCTCGCCGGCCCTGACTGTACCCTAAGAACGATCGCGGCCGGATACAGCAAAACCATTACAATACACAGCAGAGGTCCGTGGTATACAAGCTTTTTTTTTAATTAACAAGCCCTACGAATCACTGTTATTTCGACGAGACGACGACTATCTACACGTTGTGCGCGCGTAACTTTTTCGTGCAGTGTCAAATAATTGACGACCCGTGATCAAGTTACGCATAACCGTTACACAGCAAAATGTACAGCTCGCAGGAGTGAATGCTGAGAGAGTGTGTCAAAATCTTGATGACAGCCTCCCTCCCCTCAAAATAAAATATATTAAGACTAGATCTTTCGTGTTTATTTACTAATTTATATACGCACAAATTGCGTTTATCAATTGTTCAGAATAGTTTTCGCACTAAAAATGTTATACAACATACGTCGCATAATTATGTACACTCAAAATTCATCACCGCTTGTCGGTAAAATTTAATTTCCATCAAACTTCTAAGAATATTAATAGCGTTCACAAACAGATGATAATATTGTTGAATATAAATATAATAATAATAATTAAAAATGAACAATAAAAAGTTATAATTTCAATTGATAATTAACTTTTATTATTTTTTAATTGTGTATTTTTTCATAACTGTTATGGATTCGTGCCGGACAACACATGATACGCAATACGGCATGCGTCGACAATACGGTTTTGTATTTTCACTTACGCTCACAGCGTCGTTGTATTCGCACTGAAGAGAACAGAAATTTGTCTATTCAGATAAAGTTTTTAGTACTCTGTAGTTTACAGTAGGTAACAATCCCGGTAATGGCTGCTACGGTCGCCCAAGTCGCTGTAGAGTTACGTCGCGGGACACGCATGAACGCGCACTAATAAAATCGTGCCAGATCAAAACAGTATACCTACTGTTAGCATTCCAACGTTTCAGTATTGTAATATTTCAGTAAAATATTAATTCAAAACAACGGACAATTATATACATTATTGTACAGTCGACTCTCGATGGTTGGAAATTGGTGGGACTTATGAAAAATTTCGAATTACCAAGAGTTCGAATTGCTGGGTGGTTAGAAAAATCGAGTGAGCAGAAAAAAAACAATAATTTGAATTACTGAGTTACGGAGAACATTTTTATGATTGTTATACGTTTCGTCAAATTTCGTAATACTACATCTATTAATTTATTGTTTTTTTTTTAATGTAAGCATAAATTAATATTTGCCTTTATGTTTACCATATTCTCATATTAAGTTATTTGATGAATAATATCTACAACGTTGTATATATGTAAATTTAGTAGATTTAAATAATATATGTGTGTAATTAGAATTAAGACGATTGTTAGGTAAATGATTAACGATAAGATTTTAAGATATTTATTTGTTGAATACACTTCAAATTTCCTAGCCTTGAACGAATGAAACGGTGAATAGTTTTCCTAAATATGTTACTACGAGTTATAAAATAAACCATTATTTTTTTTCGGATTACTGTGAGATTTTTATGGGGAAGAGCAATTTCTTTGAATTACCAAAAGTTTCGAGTTTTTTATTTACCAAAATAACTATTTAAAAAAAAATTGTACCACTATTTTTTATTAAGACTATCATATTATAAATGTAGGTTCTAATACGAAAAATATTTGAAAAAAAAATCATATCAATAATGAGATAGTGGTTTTATTAAGGTTTTTCAGGAGCTTATTAACGCTCGCGCATTCTAGTATTCTATCACCACGAGTCATTCCTATATGATTTACGGTTTCGATCCAAACTCCTAAAACTAAAATATGTATATGTCATTGATTTATTCCATGTTTTCATCTGGCGAACATACTCGTAAGATTAAAAATATGAACTCGGTAAATTTATTATATAATTTAAATTATATTTTTTGTAATTATAAATTTACGTACATTTAAACGATGGTTTTTTTA